AAATGTCAAATTATATGCCATATCAATGTCAAACAAATGTCAAATTATATGCCATATCGAATGTCAAACAAATGTCAAATTATATGCCATATCAAATGTCAAACAAATGTCAAATTATATGCCATATCGAATGTCAAACAAATGTCAAATTATATGCCATATCAAATGTCAAACAAATGTCAAATTATATGCCATATCGAATGTCAAACAAATGTCAAATTTTATGCCATATCAAATGTCAAACAAATGTCAAATTATATGCCATATCAAATGTCAAACAAATGTCAAATGATATGCCATATCGAATGTCAAACAAATGTCAAATTATATGCCATATCAAATGTCAAACAAATGTCAAATTGTATGCCATATCAAATGTCAAATTATATGCCATATCAAATGTCAAACAAATGTCAAATTATATGCCATATCGAATGTCAAACAAATGTCAAATTTGTAACAATCGTAGTCTACATACACATTTATACTTGAACACGTGATTGGTTTATTAACCCTTATCATACATCATCGTATAAATATGGTTATAGTCATAATTGAATTTATTTACACTTACTAATAACTGGATCAGCACATTGTACCCACTCCTTGGGATTACAAGACTCAACTGCGCCTATAAATAAATAAATAAATAAACACGTGACCTATGACTGTATGTGATTCAGACTTTCTTTAAATATTGTAATTACAATTAATGATGTTTCAATTAGACTTTTACATACTGACCTGGCTGTGTATGTTTCATACATCCACACTCTGCTACCACTCGGTCACTAAAACATTCGGCAATGCACGCCTGGCGTGTATACGTGTCGAAAAATTTCAACTTTTTCTCGGAGCAGTTTGATGGATACGGATCGCCCAGACTATGTAGCTACAACACAGAATGAATGAACGAATACATGAGTGAATGAATAAAGGAACGAATGAATTATTTATTTTTGAAAAAAAACAACATTATTTCATATCAATTGAAACTACTTGTAGTAAATTCAATAACGAGACAAGACCGAAGACATATGGAGTCCAGTAACCTGGCTGCCAGATATCGAACATAGTTATGTTATTGTTCAACAGTGATATAAGTGCATAACAATTGAGATAGTTTTCTCGTACCTTTGTGTAACGCATACTGACCAACGTCTCAAATCCGGGGGAAACTGCAAAGCCCAGCAACTTTACCATTGGATCCTGTCCCTGTGGATGAACTAGTACCTGTCGATAAATAAAAATTAAACTTGAGTTTTTCGGTCAGTGATTCCATTGCAGATTATACCAACATTTTTAATTTTTTTATTCAATTAACTTGTTTTATCTCAAACACATTATTAATGTTACATACATATGTTTATAGTAAAACAATAACACAACACATCCGATATTAAAACGACGTGACGTCAACCTAAGTGAAAATGACGATAACACGTATATACATACAGGTAACAACGTGAAGATTTGCTAAGCGATAAATATATGTTTCTATACTATTCTCAGGTGTCAAAGGTTAGATATGCCGAGTTAAAAAACAACAGCAACAACAATTTAGACTTAGTGAAGCACATACCCATATTTTTCGACCAAAGACTGACTTTGATAGATGAATCATAACTATTTGACAAACCTTGAACCCTGCCCCTGTATTCTCGTTGTTTGTATATTCGTCTTGTTGTACATTCAGTCGTAAATATAGACCGTTAGTGCTGCCTGTCTGTTGTATTTTTAAAGGATTTGATCCTCCATTGAAAGTATAACAAATCCCAAAATCAGTAAGTATTTGCTTAAAATCCCCCGGACCGCATTCTATCGAGTTCCTCCATTTGCACCAGACAAGCATTTCCTCTATTTGATGCGCAGATGCTATAGCAGTTTGAGTCATGTTGAAACCGGTGAAATTAAAAAAAGACCAGTCTATATTTTCAGTAAGAGACGAGTTGCCAGTTGTCGGGAACAGAAGCTTCAAGAACTCCTCACCGGAACTGTTGACGACTGATTTTCTGTACTGGTTGTAATTGCATAAAGTAACGGCTGGGAAGGTAAGGTCCGAGACATAGTTGATCTGTATGACTGTTGACACATTGTATTTTCCATATCGCACGAAACTGTTGATTGTGGAGTAGGTAAAAACTACAAGCATCGAGAGAACGATAATTGACCATATCACCCTGCAATATGAAATTACATAATATTAAAAACTGAATGAATCATGACAGTGTTATAATGACACACCAACTGGCGAATTATATTTAACAAGACATGACATGTCATGTCATAGCCCCCGCTCAGAAAAAAATTTAAAAACTTATATTGAACTTAGTTTATGTCAGAGTGAATTAATTCATTATGAGCTGTATTAAAATTCTGTCCAGAATTGATGTGTTACA